GCAGGTTTATGGGCCCTCCCCGGGGCTATGAGTGGGCCCCCGGGCCGGGCTTTGCCGGGCGCTCAGTGGAAGGCTCTCTCGTGGCCTCAGGGCTCGGGCAAGCATCCAGGGCAAGCGCGGCAGTTGAAAGGGTACGACTTGGCTGTGGATCAAAATTAAACCTGGAGGGGACTGCAGGTTTTTAGTGCTTGGTTCCATCTACCAAGGTTCCATTCTGGGTACCTATTTTTGACCCACTGCTAGTTGAAACGTTGGAAGGGCTACACTTCTTTTGGTCCCTCAGTTTTTAACGCGGCGCTATCATCGTCCTTGCGCGAGGGGACTTATGAATGTATGGAGGGGGGCAGGTGGGCCACGGGTTTCGTTGTCGGGAGTGGGGATGTGGAGTTCGTCCATTTGTCGCAAAAGGCCACCGGACCGGTGTAGGTGGTCGCGGGGCTTGCCGCCGTCCCTTTAACAGTTTAACAGGCCGCAAAGGCAGAGAGGTGGTCGCAATGAGTCACGTCAAGGTGGACTCTTCGTTTGTTCTCAAAATTGCTCGTTATGCTGGTTTCCACATATTCAGACCAACTTTTAGGGGGTAATTTCGAGTCACCGTGAATGGACCCAGCTCCTTCCACTCTGGCCGTCGAGCGATCGGGATCCGGAGGTTCCCGATGTGGAGGGCGCCCTGGTGGAGTTGGGGGCCGAGAGCAGGGGTTATGATCAAGGCTTTGTGACGAGAATGGGACCCCACACCATTGGCAGCAAATACCAGTTTCAGTGGCGGCGATCGTGAAAATAAGTATGAGGGAGAGGTAGCTGCTTCAGGCGCTGATGGCTCGCGCGGAGATTGGCCCATTTGGGTGGCGCTCAACTGCCATGAAACGAATTGGTTGGCCCTTGGTCAAAGTGGGAAGATCAGCGGCTCGCGGCGTGAAGCCAGTAGTTCAAATGTTGATTTCGAGGGTTGCTAGATGTGGCTGTTAAGTATCGTACAGAAACTTTTATTCGCTTAAGAAAATTGTTATTTTCACCTGTTGGTTTTAAAGGGAGTCTTTCACAAAGGATTTGGTTTTATGTTTTCCAGGGGACTTACTGTAAGCAAATGGAAGGAAATAACAACTACAAGGGGCGAAATAGTTGATGTCGCTGCTTCAGCACTCAAGTTGGCGTGAGGGAGAGAACTAGTTACACACATTTGACTCCTACAATCACGACTAAGGAATTCTTATGATTGCAGAAGCAAGCCCATAGTTGCAATCAATCAAAGCTTCACTTATCCCACCAGGGGTGATTCCGGTGTGGTTGCGTGGCATTGTCTTTGTTGGGGATTTCTGGGTTTCACATTTCCCTTTGGCAACCGTGGGTGTGTGATCTGTGTGATCACCTAGCCAAACATTGACATGAGCAACAGACGGTGTGGATAGGGTGGTGATTTTGGTGGCCCTTCTCAGTTTTGCAGGTCCGCTATCCGTTTTTTGTGACGCCACTGGTGGGTATTGACATGCAACAACCGCACTGGGGAAAAGGCACCGACAGCGGTTTCCATTCACAGGCCAAGCCTGCGTGAATCACCGTTTGAATGGGATTTTCCCGAATGCGCAGCAGAAGGGTTCCCGTTTAGAGGTCGGGGTCTGGGGGTTGGGACGTGACCAGCAGTCGTTGAACTTGCGTCCCCAAGCGTTTGCAAGCGTTCATATGTGTTCGCGAGTGCCGCGGTCGCAGTTCCAGTGGGAAAAGCGAAAAACGTACCATTTAGATGACTTGAGAAACGTGTAATTTTTCGTGCCCCTGTGCGGGAATCGTAGCTCTTAGCAAGACAGGTGCATTATGGCGATGGCCAGGTTCAACCTGGCCTGCAGTGCGCGCTTCAACGACGTGCAGCACACCTCGCCGCAGACGGTCAGGTCCACGAGCAACACCCTGGAGCTGCTAGCCTGGCAGATGTCAGACGTCGTTTTGCTGCGCAGGCGCAGTGTTTTGTCAAGGTTCATGTTTGCGTGGCAAATCCATTGCGATTCGCGTTTCAGGGGTCGTCGTTTTGAGGTGTTTTGCTTGGAATGCGCGCGCAAGCGTTTCCTCGAATGTCGTTTTCGTTGGCCCTGTCGTACAGTCGGCTCGTTTTCACGACGGTAGATTTGCCTCAAATCGGTCGAAATCTTTCTGGCGCTACAGTCCCGCGCCAGTTTTCCGCGTGCGATGCGAGAGTGTCAAATTCCGATTTCGTGGCAGGCGCATCGTTTTGAGCGCTTTGCATGTCACTGTGCAACGTGATTTTTCGCGACAGGCGCAGCACTTTAGAGCTTTGCGTGCAGATTTCTTGGCAGGCGCAGCACTTTAGAGCTTTTCGTGCAGAGTTCGTCGCAGGCGCAGTACTTTTCAGCTTGCATGCAGATTTCGTGGCAGGCGCAGCACTTTGATGGGTCGAGTCGCTCTCGCTATGGCGTGGTGCGCATTTCAAAATTGCAAAGTGAACTTTAAAGACTTTGGGTGGGTCTCGCTCTCGCTGTGGCGCGGTGCGCATTTTGAGATCGCAAAGTGAACCCTTTGCGCGCTTTGGGTGGGTTCGCTCTCGTTGTGGCGCTGCTCACATTTTGAGATTGCAACGTGAACCCTCTGCGCACTTTGGGCGGGTCGAGTCCCTCTCGCTGTGGCGCGGTGCGCATTTTGAGCTCGCAAAGCGAACCCTCTGCGCACTTTCAGTGGGTCGAATCGATCTTGCTGTGGCGCGGAGCACATTTTGAGATCGCGACGTCGTGACGAAACACGTGACGAGAGAAACGCGAGTAGGGTCGTGGCTAGAAACATGAGAAAGACCAAGAAAGACAGGGAGATGTGACGGAGTCGTGACGTGAGGCGCGTCGAGACACATGATGAGAGATGTGATAAAAGTTATGACGAGAGACGGGACCAGAGTTGTCGCGACGGACGTGACAAAGGATGTGACCAAAGACGTGACAAGAAACGTGACCAGAGACGTGACGCGAGGGGCGACGACGCGCGTGACAGGAGACGTCTCCAAGAAAGATGCTACGTAGTCTCGACGAGGCGCGTCGAGACACGTGATGAAAGATATGACAAGAAACGTTGTTACGTGAGACGAAAGGACGTGACCAAAGGCGTGACCAAGAGGCGTGACCAGGAAAAAAGAGAGACGTGACAAGAGACGCTGTTACGAGAAACCTGTGAAGGGGCATGACCAGAGACGTGGCTCGAGACGCCACCAGAGACGTGACTATACACAAAAAGAGGCATAGCCAGATACTCTACGTGGCGATAAAGAAGAGAGACGTGACGAGATGGACCAGAGACGCGACGATAGATGTGACGAGAGACGTGTGAAAAGAGGCGCGCCGGGTGACGACTCGCATGACAGGAGTCGCCAAGAATGACGTGATGGGAGACGTGACACAGTCGTGACGAGAGGTGCGGCGAGACACATGATGAAAGGTTTGACGAAATCAAGACGAGAGACATGGCCAGAGTTGCTACGAGAGACGTGACAAATGACGTGACAAATGACGTGACCAAAGGCGTGACTAAAGACGTGACCAGAGACGTGACTGTAGAAACGTGACTAGAGTCGCGACGCGAGATGTGACAAGAGTCCGCTTTCGTCTCCGCATTCGGGTTTGTGGCTACTAGCAGGTTTTTGTCAGTTGTATTGAAGGGGGAACTTCCTGCAGGTCCGCCACTGCGGTGGCGTGGTCGCCGGCCCACTCGCTGATCTTCCGGCCAGGGCCCGGGCCGGTGCGGAGTATCTGCGCAGAAGCATTGAGACATCCGGCGTGCACACAGCATTGTGTGTAGGTGTCCGTGGGTGTGTGTGTGTGTGTGTGTCCGTGTCCGTGTCTGTGTGTCTGTGTGTCTGCGTGTGTGTGTGTGTCTCTGTGTGTCTGTGCGTGTCTGTGTGTCTGTGTGTCTGTGTGTCCGTGTGTCGGTGTGTCGGTGTGTCTGTGTGTCTGTGTGTCTATGTGTCTGTGTGTCTGTGTGTCTTTGCGTCTGTGCGTCTGTGTGTCTGTGTGTCTGTGTGTTTGTGTGTGTGTGTCTGTGTGTGTGTCTGTGTGTCTGCGTGTCTGTGTGTCTGTGTGTGTGTGCCTGTGTGTCTGTGTGTCTGTGTGTCTGTGTGTCTGTGTGTCTGTGTGTGTGTGTCTGTGTGTCTCTGTGTCTGTGTGTCTGTGTGTCTGTGTGTCTGTATGTCTGTGTGTCTGTTTGTCTGTGTGTCTGTGTGTCTGTGTCTCTGTGTCTGTGTGTCTGTGTGTCTGTGTGGTCTGTGTGTTCCGGCTGAGTGTCGTGGTGTCTGTGTGTCTCTGTGTCTGTGTGTCTGTGTGTCTGTGTTTCTGTGCGTCTGTGTGTCTGTGTGCCTGTGTGCCTGTGTGTCTCTGTGTCTGTGTGTCTGTGAGTCTGTGTCTGTGTGTCTGTGTGTCTGCGTGTCTGCGTGTCTGTGTGTCTGTGTGTCTGTTTGCCTGTGTGTCTGTGTGTTTCTGTGTGTCTGTGTGTCTGTGTGCCTGTGTGTCTCTGTGTGTCTGTGTGTCTCTGTGTGTCTGAGTGTCCGTGTGTCTGAGTGTCCGTGTGTCTGTGTGTCTGTGTGTCTGTGTGTCTGCGTGTTTGCGTGTCTGTGTCTGTTTGTCTGTGTGTCTGTGTGTCTGTGTGTCCGTGTGTCTGTGTGTCTGTGTGTCTGTCTGTCTCTGTGTCTGTGTGTCTCTGTGCCTGTGTGTCTGTGTGCCTGTGTGTCTGTGTGTCGGTGTGTGTCTGTGGGTCTGTGGGTCTGTGTGTCTGTGTGTCCGTGTGTGTGTGTGTGTGTCTGTCTTTCTGTGTGTGTGTGTGCGTGTCTGTGTGTGTGTGTCTGTGTGTCTGTGTGTGTGTGTGTGCCTGTGTGTCTGTGTGTCTGTGTGTCTGTGTGTCTGTGTGTCTGTGTGTGTGTGTCTGTGTGTCTCTGCGTCTGTGTGTCTGTGTGTCTGTGTGTCTGTATGTCTGTGTGTCTGTTTGTCTGTGTGTCTGTGTGTGTGTCTGTGTGT